TTTACTTTACTACATATGAAACGCGCGAATGTCAAGGAGTTTGTTTGTCTTTGACAAATTAGATGCTACTTATTTATAGTGGGCGGATTTATCTGCATAAAATCACAGTCATCTATGTATATGTGTAGTTAATGAATAATTATCTAAATATTGAATATGTGTAAATAAAAAGGTGTGTAGTATCTAACTCCACTTGTTTCCTCAAAAAAAAAAAAAAAAAATCTAACTCCTCCACTTGACTTTTCTTATATGAGTATATGCTAATAAAAATACCAAGGATTTATTTCCTTTACAATTAGAGCGAGGAAAAAGGTGGCGAACACAAAAGATGTTTATTTACTGATTATTTCTTGAGTTCTACATTTAAAGTGAATTGTAAAAAAAAAAAAAAAAAAATCCAGCATCGCTTTGAATTTCTGAAAAACTCCTCGTGTTATTAATATTAGAAATATTGAATGGGTTTTTTATAATGGAAATAGCCTTAAGAGTTTTTATAACAATTAGAATAAATAACATAGGCGTGACAAATGCAATAAACTCGTATATTTATTTTAAATACTCAAAATTATTCCATTCCAAGTTTTGAAATTTTGATTTTCAGTTTTTTTTCTTCATTTTATTATGAAACGGAATTAGAATATTAGTTCTTCGGTTCTAAAAGAGAAATGAAACTTTTGCAAAACTGTTAATATCCAGTCGTCCGATTTCGACACATACTGAAATAGTTTGATTAATGTGCAGCTTGCGGAGCGAGTGGGGCATTATATGCGCTGATATCGTACTTCACGGGATGTGCGTGGATATACTCTTGCACCTACCGTTCGAAAATGAGAAGCCAATACATGCTAGCGGAGGATCCTTGTCCCGATTTTCTTCTACACCTTTGTTGCGAGTCCTGCGCTTTGTGCCAAGAGTATCGTGAGCTCCAACATCGTGGCTTCGACATGAATCTTGGTAATCAATCCAGCTTCAATTTATTGGCTATTATTTTATTTTAATGTTACATTAATTTGATCTAATCTCATCAATTTTAATTTTTATTTTTTTTAGGATGGTTTGGAAATGTTGACAAACATAATCAAGGAGTGACAATGGCACCATTTGTTCAAGGAGGAATGAATAGATAAGTTGTATTATTTGGATTCCAATTAGCTGTCTTGTTTGTATGTATTTTTTCGTTTTATTCAATAATTGTGTGGTGGAAAGAGCGGTTATGAAGATGGGTGCATTTTATTTTATTTATTTTATTTTTTTATTGAATTGTAACGTGTGGTTTGAGTGTGATTTGTGATAATATAGTGGATGTAATAAGGTCAAGTTTTTATTGTGAATTTCATAATAATGTATGTCATCTAAGATTATAATATTGAAATTCTATGTTTAATGTTCGTGTATTTTTGTTATTTATTATTATTATCTACAAAGCATTTTTTGAAGCTTCGGTCTTGTATTTCTTTGTTTTTATAGAGTATCTTTGAAGCTTTGGTCTTGTAGTATCGATATTCTTTGGTTTATTTTTTGTTAAAAAAATATCAACTGTTTTTGTATAATTAATGAACTATGAAAATTAATGAACTTTAGAATAAGGTGAAAGAATAAATTACGGCCACCTCCCTCTTTAGGAATGGTCAAATTACGAAAATTCCCTTTTATGTGTGTAATTACAATTACTCTCTCAACTACGAACTTTTTTCCATATTCATCCTTCCGGTGTCAAATTTAGTGGAATCTTCTAAATTATATGGAATATGTTCAAGTTTGTACCCATTTTATCCCATTTGAGCTCCACATATTGAAGCAAGATGATCATAAGATATTTTTTTGGCTTGTATATACCAGATTGTGGTGAATCACAAACTGATTTTTGCACAAAATGAGTACAAACTAGAGAACATTCCACGGATTTTAGAAGATTATGTTGAATTTGACATCATGAGAATGAACATGTAAGAAGATTCATAGTTGAGAGGATAGTTTTAATTGCCCAAACATGAGGGTATTTTTTTAATTTGACCATACCTCGCGAAGGTGGTTGTAATTTACCCAAGGTGAAATTAGCTCATCCTCCCTCAAAAATAGTTTTTATATTTAAAAGAATACACGATTTTTTGCTATTTGTGGAAGGTCCTTCTTAGGAGTTTATTTAGAGATTTTAGACTTAGAATTACACACACAACTTAGCTACATAATTTAGTTATGTTCAGTGGTCATCTGGAATACTTACCTATTTGCAAATTAAACATCTCTTCCCCAAATCCTGTAGCTAAACAAAGTGAATCAACTAAATACGTAGATCTGGGCGTGGGTGTGCATCACTCTTTGTGGTGTGTGCGTGTGCACGCGCGCGTGCGTGCGTATTTGGGTGTGTGCGCGTGTGTGTGAGCTGATCTTAATGGTTGCAGTAAATATGGATGGAGTGGTCTAAAAAATTACATGGATAAAACACTTTTAGTAAATTGTGAAAATTTCAATATTCTAATTTGAAAGAATATTATTATCCAGAAGTTTTTACCAAATTACCCCTTAAAATAAACTGTTCATAAACTTGTGGTTCTTTTGCAAATGCGGATGCCTCTACATCCATTAAAACTAATCAAATAGACACGTTCGACGAGTCCGAATCCACAAGGCCACGGGCTACAAATATCAGGATCCGATACCGGCCCACCTATATAGGGAGGATTGATCAAAGGGTTAAGGTGTTGGGAATCGGACACGTGTACACAGCGGAAAACAAAAATTTTATGCGATTTAAACAATTTAAAACACATAAACACATGCCCGATAATTGAAATCAATTAATTGCGTACCTTTGCGTTTCCAGCGAAATTAAAAACAACATACATGCTTAATTACTTAATCGAAATTAAATCAACTAGCATGCTCGCGTTTAAATCAAATAACATGCTCGTAACAACTAAAGTAATTTCATGTAATCACATAAAATCATACAAGAACGAACATACATATTTAATTTAAACATAACCGAATTCATCGACAATTGATTCGAAGGTTTACCTCTTGAAGCGTGAGGTAGACGCACCAAGCAAAGCGGGATTGCTACGGAAACCAATCCGTACAATCCGGGGCAGCAGCGGCAGAACGGCAGCAGAGGCAATCCGAGCCACGGTGGCGCGTGTGACTCACGCGCGGTCTTCGGTCGGCGCGTGGGGATGCGTGCGGCTTCGGCTCGTGCGCTGCTCCTCGATTCTTCGATCTTCAATCTTCCTCCTCTCGAATTTCACCTCGTATACTTCGATCTACTAAACACGTGGCACTAGACACGTAATAGTTAGAAAAAAAAAAAAAAAAAAAAGAAAGAAGGAAAGGAATACCGAAAGGGATCGGGAGCGGCTAGGGTTAGGATTTTGTCTTGTGTTTTGTGCAAGACCTATAAATCAAGTATTTATAGTGTCTTGCATAAAACCCTAGCGGGCTTAAGTTGGATCGGGCACAACAGCTTAAGTTCTTTAGTACTTTTACTTGCTCGTCTCTCTATTCAATGATCGAAAAATTGTAACGATTATATTTTCGAAATCATTATAATGTCCTCGTCATTACGAGTGCCAACTCTCGATTTCCAACTTTCCAAAAGTAGAAACCCTAATTCAGTGCACTTTCTAAATTTGGAAACTTCCCGATTTAGAAAGTCCACTAAGATGTTCGCCTATTCTTTTCCATTTCTTATTCTCATTCATAATTCCAAATTACGAATGTTGGACCCAATCATATTGACTTCCAATCATGCAAAGATAAACCATTTTATCTCTGACCGTTTATTCAAAGATCTAATGTGCACGAGCAGTGTGACCCTCGATGGTTCAGGTGTAAGCTAGCCGTGGGCCCACAACCCTTTGTGGTCAAAACTCGTCCCTTAGAGTTACGATTAAGATAAAGCTCGTTTCACCTTAATCACCCAACGAATCAAGATTGGCGTCTAGCAACTACGCGTCATGATACCCTAGTTACAAATGAAGTGTCTGCAAGAACCTTCAGATATAGTTAACGTACAGTACGATCCCTTCGATTCATATATCCCGATTGAACTAGAGGCATTGGTTCATCGAGACCTCTTTATTTGTTCAATGACGGTGCGATCGTTCTAAGTGTTGTAATCGTTACGTGCATGACTTAGAGAATCGAATTCTCTAATCATCACTTAGTCAGCTCTAGCAAAGACTTAGAATGATTACAAACTATCATAACACACAGGACATCTACTCCATAATAAATATGAAAGACCACAGCCACTTGTTGGCTTGTTGGTCACCTACTCTAACAATCTCCCACTTGACCTAAAGCCAACTACCCATGAATCGTAGTCCCATCGACTCTCGATGTTTCTCGTGGACTGATCTTGGTAAAGGCTTCGTGAAGGGGTCTGCAAGTTCTCTTCCGTGGTGACTCGTTCTACTTTAACTTCACCTCTATCAATGATCTCTCGGATCACATGATACTTCCTCAGAATATGCTTCGACTTCTGATGAGATCGCGGCTCCGGTGTTATCACAGTACAACAGTACTGGATCACTAGCATTAGGAATTACACCCAACTCTTGGATGAACTTCCTTCTATTAGAGATATTAATATTAAATGATACATTTCACTAATAGCTTAAGCTTTTGGTTGAGATGGTCATTCAACATGGTATCAGAGCCAGGCCAAATGAAAGGTCCTGAGTTCGAATCCCACAGCCACCCATTTAAAAATATTTCAAGTGCAAGGCTTCAAATGTAATTCGCCTGCACTTGAGGGAGCGTATTGGAGATATTAATATTAAATGATACATTTCACTAATAGCTTAAGCTTTTGGTTGAGATGGTCATTCAACACCTTCCAAGTCCCTTATTTTGCAGCTTCGGACGCTGCAATGTATTCCGCTTCGGTAGTGGAATAAGCTGTCGTGCTCTGCTTGGAACTCTTCCAACACACGGCACCACCATTAAGTGTGAATATAAATCCAGAGTTCGACTTTGAGTCATCCACAACCGATTGAAAACTAGAGTCGGGAAAGCCCTGTAATTTCAACTCGGCACCCCCATAAACCAAAAATATATCCTTAGTCCTTCGTAAGTACTTGAGGATATCTTTCACGGCCTTTCAGTGAGCCGGGCGGGGGTTAGACTGATATCTGCTTGAGACACTCACAGCATACGCAATATCGGGTCTCGTACATAGCATGCCATACATTATGCTTCATATGGCATAAGCATAAGGCGTCCTTTTCATCTCCTCGATTTCACTAGGTTTTTGCGGACACATAGATTTCGAGAGACGAACCCCATGGGACATTGGCAATAATCATTTCTTCGATTCTTCCATGCTGAACCGTTTCATAACGGTGTCTATGTATAGGCTTTGGGATAAGCCAAGCATCTTTCTTGCTCTATCTCTATAGATGCGTATTCCAGATACATAAGATGCTTCACCCAAATACTTCATTGAGAAACGTGTAAACAACCATGCTTTCGTTTGTTGCAACATTCCTACGTCATTCCCAATGAGTAGAATGTCATCAACGTAAAGCACCAAAAATATCACTGCCCTCCCACTAACCTTCTTGTATACACAAGGTTCCTCCGGGTTCTTTTCAAAATCAAACTCTTTGATAGTTGAGTCAAACCTAATGTTCCAACTACGGGATGCTTGTTTCAATCCATAAATGGATCGCTGGAACTTGCAAACCTTTTGCTCACTTCCAGAAGATATGAAGCCTTCCGGCTGCGCCATGTAAATTCTTCCTCAATATCTCTATTAAGGAAGGCGGTCTTCACATCCATTTGCCATATCTCGTAGTCGTACCACGCAGCTATGGCCATCAAAATCCTAATGGACTTCAGCATCGCGACTGGCGAAAAGGTTTCCTCATAGTCAACACCTTGCCTTCGAGTGTATCCTTTCGCTACTAATCTAGCTTTATAGGTCGATACCTTTCCATTCACTCCAATTTTCTTCTTATAGATCCACTTGCAGCCTATAGGAACAATTCCCTTAGGCGGATCTACCAAGGTCCACACCTTGTTGGAGTACATGGAGTCCATCTCGAATTTCATGGCAGTTAGCCAATGTCCCATGTCCGCATCCGATACGGCCTCATTGTATGTTCTTGGATCTTGTCCAAGATCAACATGGTCTTCATCATTCTCGAGGAGGAATAACCTATCCGGCATTTTCGAACTCTTTCGGATCTACGTACCGTAGGTTCAGGAGGTATATTAGTGGATTGTTGCATTGGTTCGATTACTTGTTCTTGCACTTGAACTTCACTTTGTGGTTCTTGAACTACTTTAAGTTCTATCATGCTGCCTTTTCTATCCGATAGAAACTCCTTTTCCAAAAAGGT